TTTTTGCTGGTGACACAGGTATAGTAGAAAAATTCTCACTCTGGTTGAAGTGTGCTGGCATGAAACATTTTCTTGATCTAGAAGTACTCTGAGAAAATTCAATATTTAATTTCTGAGTGAATAATGAAGCTCATCCTCCTTTTTCAAACATTGCTAGTTAAACACTAGATGTTCCCATGCTTCTGACAGCAGTGATAACTGTTTAAGCCCATTGCCAGCAACTTTATATCTAAGAATCAGCTAAATCAGGTCACAAAACTGACTTCAATTAGTTTTTAGTATTATTCTTAAATGCCAACCCAATACCTGGGATACTCAGTTCCCATAAGAGTCCACAGACCAGTACACTCTCTAATTCCTAGGCTAAGTACAGACAGTCCAAAAGCCTAAGGCTGAATAAATTCAATGTTCAAAGGTTAGTCCACGTTGTATAGACTAAACCCATAAGCAAGTAAACAGACACTCACTTTTGATTCTAGACATGCAGTAACATGCCTGCAGTGGCCCAGGCCAGAAGCCAGAGGTGTGCTAGAGCATGCCTCCCTGCTTGGCTGGAGCAGACAGCTTGGGCCAAGGCTCCTGGGAGGGAGGTTTGCAGGGGAGGTCCAAAGCATCCTGGGATGCTGGAGGACTGTGAGTTAACTTGAATCTGGAGGAGATCTGGGACAGAATGTCAATAAACTGATTTAACTTAAATTAGTTAAGTCTGCTACTACATCCATCCAGGTTTATCTTAGACCAGTTTCAACCATTTTGAAAGTGGCTTATGTGTGCTGAACTTCTGTTGTGTTACAGACTTGAACTGGTTTCCAATCACTTATACCAGTTTATATGTAATTTCTGTCCCTAGCCCTTGAAATTTCACAATCGCTACCAACATTTGTCTCTTTGACTGTCCTTAAAAACAACAACAAACACCAAGGGGACAATATTCTAGAAGTACTCCAATATTCTGACAAGCCCTTCTACCTTTACCTACATAATGCCCTCAGTAGCTAATATCCATGCTTCTTTCCATCAGAGATTGTGGCTTTTTTACAGTATTCAAAATTGGTTCCCAAGACAACTCAGCTGGCTATAATCTCTACTCTGTTGTCTGCAATGCATTCAGCCAGCTGGTCATCCTATTACTGTCTTCTTTCTCTTTACCATTAGGTTACGGGACTAGTTTTCTTTAGAGGTCGTATCAGCACCGATAAAAGGAAAATAGACATTATCACAATCTGATTCTAGTTCTATTGGATTAACCTACTTACCAGTCAGAAACATCCTTAGAGAAAAAATATTAACCAGTTAAAAAAGTGGGTAATGTCAACGGGTTCATAAAAAAAACTCCAGAGACTGTTGTCCACTGCCTAAAAAGAACAAGCGTAACCCAGGAGAGAACCATACAAATTACACTTGACTTATATGCAGGGTCAACCTACAAACAAGCCCCTGACAATCTTGCGTTTTGTGCTGGTAATAACTTTGTGTACTGAATAAAAATGCAGAACTGGAACTCTCTTAATGCAGGATTTTAGTATTTTAGTGTGTTTAACTATTTAGGTTCTTTCCTTAGTTATCTGCTTCTCTGGAAGGGTTTTGTAAGGCTGGTAACAGCTCAAAGACTTTTTCTGCGTATCAACTTATATTTGTGGGTGGGGAAAAGCTGCTTCTCTAAAACAATGTGAAACCAAGGAGCTGACTTATATTACCATGTCAACTTATAATCAGAACAATATGACAGAATTGCTTTCCAGGTGTACTGACTAAACTTCGAGTCCACTTAAACACCGTACATGCCAAACCATCCATTCCAAAACCATTGTAACATGTGATACTTATGCACCAAATCAGTGATTCTGTCTTACCTTTCTCATGGCTTCAGCTTCTTTATCTTTAACAAATACTATTGGAGGCATATTTCCCAAAACCTGACGAGCTAGCAAAAGATACCTGGGAAAAATACAATGTCCAGATATGTGTTAAAGTACAGCATCATTAGAACAAATGCAGTATTTGTTAAATAAAAATGCACCAGAAATGCACTGTCAGGCAAGGATGCTGTTTGCAAATCCTATCATTCTGAAGGGTATCACTTAGATGACAAATTTTAGGATATCACACGTTCATTTGATATGCTAGTGTTACACCAGCTTAAAGCTTGTCCTCCAGGGAAATTCTGATCTGGTCGGATATGGCCATGGCTCATCAAAGGAAATTATATGAGCCAAAACAACCAGAAATGCAGATAACCAACATCTTAATATACAGTATTCAAATGAGAGTAACTTTGGTGAATTCAGAATACCTTAAGGATTTCTTACAGAAAACTTCTAATAGGCAAGGGTGTGTATGAAGTAGATAAGCTGTTTACAGCCATGGTTTTTAACCTACAGTCTGTGGACTGAATCTGGTCTTTGGAGCAGTGTCATCTGGTCTGTGAGGTTCCTCATGAGTCTGAAAATTTGGTGGTGGGGGAGCAGTGGCAGCATTACTCGCTGCTAAATTTTCAGACCCATAGGGAGCTCCAGTAGCAAAACTGAGGGGAGGCAGAACAACTGGGGCAGCAGCACCAGGTGCCACAAAAATAGCCACTGCCACAGCAGCTGACCGCACCAACAGCACCATAACAACCAGTGCTATTCCATGTGTTGCAGCTGCCCTGCAACATCTCTTGGGAGCTCCATAAACCAGATGATATTGCCCCATGTGCCATACCAGGCTGGCACATAGGGGTGGTCCATGACTGGAAGTAATGCGCAAGGTAAGGCTGCAGGCACAATCCAGCCCCACAGTACTCATTTGGCCAACAGAGCTGGATGACTCAGGCACCAGCAATTTACAGCAGGGGTGCGAAGCCAAGCCATCCAGCCCATGGGAAAATTTTTCAGGGGGGTGTTGAAAACTCTGCATGGTCCGATACAGCCTTGCCCTGGCTATTGCCATGCAGTGGGATCAGGGCCAGATCAGGCCAGGCTGCTCCTCATTCTACCCTCTCACCTGCAACCTGCATGTCTGGATCAGGTCAGAAATGAACCACCCCTATCCCACACATCCAAATTGGGGCTGGACTATGTCCTGCCCTCCCTCCACCCTCCCATGCATCCAGATTGGGGCTGCACTACTCTGCACCTCACCCCACCCCACCCCTCTGCATCTGAATGGGGGCCACTCCACACTCCTCCTTGTGCACCTGGAGCAGTGCTGGGATGCTCCCCAGCCCTCCTTGTATCTGAATCAGGGCTGCTCCCTGGCCCCTCTTCCCCCACACATCTGGATCAGGGCTGCTCCACCCCATCCCCTACCCTCCAAGTCTGGATTGGGATTGGGCCACCCCCACTTCCCTGGGCAAACAGATCAGGGTCAGGTTGCACAATATCCTCACCCCCTCTGCAGCTGGATTGGGGACCCACCATGGATTGCACCCCCCAACAGATCCAGCCCACATGGTGAAAAGGTTGGGCACCACAGGTTTATAGCATGCACTAGTACCTTATACGTAGAGCACTTTTCTGTAGAATACTTTCCACATGCTTGCTGTTACCTACTGTAGTAGAATTCCAGTACACACGACATACTGAAAAGTCTGATACCAGGGATACCTGCAAAATGCAAAGACTATTACACAACACTTTACTTAACAACAACAAAACCTCCAAAACATTCACACTTTAAGATGTCTACTATGACCCATGAGATATGGGTTGACCCATGCCAAACCTGGGCTGCTACCAGTAGGTCTTGTTTCTTAGAGTAGGAGTGGGGAGCAATGCCCATATATGTTATGACCTGAATTAAACTATACTAGTGGCTTTCAACTTTTTTTTTTTTTTATTTGCAGACTCCTAAAAAATTTCAAATGAAGATTCAGACCCTTCTGAATTTTAAGTGAGGGTATTCACACACTTTTAATCGACCATAGTTTGGGATGTACCAAAGTCGAAGCAGATGCTGGCCAATTTCACAGGCAGCCATTTTCGTGAGCATAGCACAGTGGGGCCCCCCCCACCTGACTGGCCCTGGGGCCCTGGTAGCCCCCCCACTGCTGATCAGCTGCAAGAGCTGTCCGTCATACAGCCCCATCCCTCGACACTGACTGGCTGCAAGGGCTGTCTGTCCAGCAGGCAGCCCTCGTAACCAATCAGCAGTGAAAGGTGGGGGTGGTAGCAATCTTGCCATACCAGCTCCACGCCCTCTCCCATTTCCCTCCCCAGCGGACTGTGTAGCCAGGCTGCAGTGGCCACAAGGACTGGCAAGCATTTTATTTTTGGTGAAGATTTTTTTTTCTTTTCAGGGAGACTGCCAAAAAAGCAGGCCTCATGCATTTTTGCGGGGCCTGCCTGAAATTGTGAAATCATGATTTCAGTAGGTCTCTAATCATAGTCATCTTTCATGGACCCCTTAAACATAGTCTGTGGACTCCCAAGGATCAGAAGACCACAGGTTGAAAGCCACCAAACTATACCATTCAAAGTGCTGTTCTTTTTGTGTGGGAACATCCAGCCAGCACAAGTCCTGCTCTATGCTGCATAATTTTCTTAGCAGAATCTGAGATCGTCTGGCAAAACTGTGAGGGAGCACACACTCACAGTTCCCCTAGGGTGGCAAAATCTCTTCATTTCATCAGCAGAGGAGCACCAGCTCTTTAAGCACTGAAAGACTTCTGCTGCCACAGAGGAGCTGCCTGTAAAACAGGTGTTGGTTCACCTTGCTTTCTGACAGCAATCAGAGACAGAGAACAGAGCCATGGACCACAGTGCAGGACTCAAGTATAAGCAAGTTCTTTTTGACTACTGTACTTAGTTGTCGTACTGATTATCATAGTGGCTTTACATAAAGTGTAGCTTGAGTACTTGCCTTGGAGATGTCCAGCTTGAGATCATAGAGTTCCTGACTGACTTCACAGGTGCTCATCAAGTCTGTGATAGCATTGTACAAGACCTTATTCAGTACACTTATTCGTATACTGTCTTTTTTCCTAGCTCTTTGCTGAGAATCTTTTAGTATAGAGGCCAAGCCCGATGGCTTATACAGCTTTAAAAACAAAAACAGTAGCTATAAACACAGAGTTTAAGCAAATCACAAAACATGTCTGGCTCTACATTAGCTGTTACCACACAGGAAAGATCTGGGAGTCATTGTGGACAGTTCGTTAAAAACATCAGCATAGCGGTCAGCAGTGCTCACTCCCATGCCCGCTCACTCCCAGCGCTCCTCCAGCCCTGGGGTACAGGTGGGGAGCAGTGCACAGCCCTCACCCCTTGCTCGCCAGCAGTGAAGGAGTGGTGTGGAGCATGGGGAAAAGTGGCCCTTCCCCCGCCCTGTGGCCCACGCTCCCTACTGCAGCTGCTCGCAGCCCACGCAGGGCTGTCCTAAGCAGGCACAGGCAGCCCCATGTGGGCTGTGAGCAGCTGCAGCGTGGGGTGTTGGCCATGAGGCAGGCAAGGGGTCGCTTTTCCCCCGCACTTAGCACCAGCTTGTAACCTGCAGCCACTGCCAGCCTGGGCCCCACACGGCTCTCAGGTCACCCATCGGGGCTGCGTTGCAATGGCAGCAGCTATGACCCCCCCGCATGCCACGGTGGGCAGCGTTTGCTGCTGCTACCTGCCCAGAGCTCGCGTGCTGGGCAGCCTACCACTGCTGCGAGCTCCAGGCATGCAGCAGCAGCAAACGCAGCAAGCCTGGAGCCATGCAGGGCCAGCTTACAAGTTGGTGCTGACTGCGGTGGAAAGCGGCCCCTCCCCCGCCCTGTGGCCAGCGTCCCACGCTGCAGCCGCTTGCAGCCCGCGCAGGCTGAGAGTGGCTGCAGCAGACAGCACAAGCCACAGGGCAGGGGAGGAGCCACTTTTCCCCATGCTCCACACTAGCTCCTTCCCTGCCCTTCCCCTCCCCCCCTTCCCTGAGCTTCCCACGCCAGGGCAGTCATGTGGTCCCAGGTAAGAAGCCCCTGCTGGAGCTGCTGGCTTGGGGGGTGGGGCCAGGTGGGCCCTGCTTTTGCAGTAGCCCGCTGAGGATTCCCCTGGGTACTACTGCCCCTGGTTCCTGACATTTTTGACAGGAACCGAAGACAGATAAATTTTAATTTTCAAAAATGTTTTAGGGTCCCCACGGACTAGATAGAATGGCCTTGCAGGCTGGATCCAGCCTGCGGGCTGTATTTTGCCCACCCCTGGTTTAGCCCAATTCAAAACGGGATTGGACAGAGTCTTGGAGAAAAGGGGCTTTAGTAGCTATTGAGCACGGGACTTAGGGATACAACTTCTAAATCACAACTCCCTAGACTTTAAATGCTGGAGGCTGCAAGTGAGAGAGGAACAATGGAAAAAGTCCTGGTCACATCCAGTTCACTCTTCCTTTCAGCATCCACTCTCTACCACTGTGACACAGGATACCAGGCAAGATGGATCTATGGTCTCACCCAGTAAATAGCAATTCTTATGTTCTTTCTGTTACCCCTATACATTATGCCTACATTTAGTCTCCATTTCTACCACCAGACTTGCAATTCCATGGAATGATTCGTGAGTCTTAAACAATACTTGTGCATAGTCAGCACTTCTGATTCTGGTCGTCAGGACTGGAATCTTTCCTTCTTACACCCATTGAAGATGAGACTCCTTTTGACGTGGCGCCTAAACATTAGTGTGACTTCTGTTACTCAGTTTCTGGTGCTTCTTCATTGAGAAATTAGTGCATTTTGATCATGACGGGCAATAGGAAAAGCAAAATTCACCCCTCAGGACAGACACAAAGATGATACTTTAACAGTCTGCATTTACCAGATGAGACTCCAGCCCAGGACTGTCATACCAAAACTTCTTCCTTTTTGAAAAAGATAAACAACGTAAAGTTACTACACTGGTCTCACTGGTGCCAACCTCACATTTTCAGGGTCCATCTAACAAAAAGAGCACTTCCCCTGAACAGAAGCCAGTAACACCAAATGAAGACCCTGAACACCTGCTGCCCTTACAAGACCTCACAGGAGAATCAAATCCTCCCCAAAGAAGAGCAAGGGCTGTGTCCAGATGAGTGCAGACCTTGTGCCACTGCTACTTGTTCCTGGGGAATGCTGGTACCATGTGCACTCCGGTGTATGGCAGGTTACCCCGGGTAAGTTATGGAAAACTGGGGCCAGCAGCCTTACCTGGGGGTCTCCTGGGGCTGCAGCCATGGCAAGAAGTCTGGCTGGCAGCCAGAGTGTGGCTCTGGCCTTCCAGGCTCCAGTTTTGGGTGGCACACACTGCTGTCATATGCACCACCCTGCTTTTATTCAGCATGGGTGTTTTTGACCCTGGGATCCTGCGGGGTCAACCCCCCTCAGAGCTGCCACAGGAAATGCCTGCATGTGCAGTGTGTGGCGCCACACACGGGCCTGTGGTGCCACATACTGCACATTCGCTCTCGCCTGGATGCAGCCATGGGGTTTAAACGCATAAAAGACTCTAAAATAAAAACAGCATGGAAAAACATTCCCACCTGGTAGGGTTTGTGGTTTGTTTGTTTGGGGTTTTTTTTGGGGGGGGGGGGGGGGGGGAGGGCGGTTTTTAAAAAAAACCCTCCACGCCCCACGCGGGGGGGGAAAA